CTGACGAGTCTGAGAGAGCTATTGTTGTCGTCTAATTCTCTCAATGGTGATTTACCAAATGAAATATTGAAATTAACAGATTGCATTGTCTATAGTCAATTGTGGTTTAAAGTGAGTGACACCAGTCATCTCTAGTCTGACTTATCTAGAGAGTCTAGATCTATCTCACGATGAACTGAGATCTACACCAACGAACAATGGAATAGGTAACAAATGTCTAAGAACCATCGTGGAATCAACGTAGATTCTGGTAAGGAGAAGTCAATATGTGTGATAGCATAATATGAATGAGATGCAGAAGTCAGTGGTGACTGCCAACTATATTCTTCATCTGAGTGATCATCCATCACACGGTTTCACCAAATTAGAAGTGGTGATTAGGTGATATAATGACTTTCGTTGTGCCTCTTTACACAACAACTTCTCGTTAGAGAAGCGAAGTAATTCAAACTTTCTTTTTCGGTAGGAAATAATGTTATCGTGTGTGAATGAGCGTGTCAGCGAGTAATATTCAGCACAAGGACGCTCGAACTTAATCAGCTTGAGGTTGTCTTGCGGAACTTTCGTCAAAATGTCACTCGCACGAACCACATCAACCAAATAATTTGGTCGTAGGCGAATGAACTTTGCTGTTTCAAGAGTCTTCTGTACCTTTCCACTTGACTTCACTATAGCGTTAACTATAACTGCTCCCAGTTCATTAAGATATTTAAGGCATATCTCACGAGCTGTTCTAAGATTGTTAATCGATCGTTGTTTTTGTTATCTTAACCAGATCTCAGAAGAGTCCATCATCGATTATGCCATCTAAAGAAGATGACAAATATTGTCGACTCACCGGTTCCAAGTCGTTTGTAGATATGAGTGATATAGTCCTGCATGACAGACTTCTGTTATCCAAAACTTTATCTTTTTCCGTCCTTTGCCCCGTGCAAGCAGTCATGGACTCTCCTGTCGCTTTTCATATTTGTATCATATTTTCGTACCATTTTGAACAAAGAAAAATCTAAACTTCTAATCACTACATGTGATACAACCCGAACGACTTTTACAAAAAGAAACAAAACATATTTTATTTTAGAAAACAATATTACATAAGTAGAAAAAGAGATACGTAGAAAAGCTGACGTAACGGAATAATTGGCCTTTTCAACGTTTTTTCCTAAAATAATCAAAATGTACATGAACACTTACATCATCAAAACTAATAAAACAAATTTTATATCATACCAAGTGTATGCTCTTCTGGCATTTCTCTTTCCCGGTTGTTTTCGTTCTTTTCGTCTGGCATCATTGGTCAATAAACCAGCTAAATAAAAGAAAACTGCTTTAATGAAGAGTCAACTAGTACATGAAAATACTTTCACGTGTATTACATGTAAAATGTATCTACGATATGTTCGAGTTAACCGTCTGACTCAGATTGGCACCGAAGAAGGAAATCGAGCTTATTTTTTCACAAGAAACGGAGATTTGAGAATTATATCTGATAATTCATTCTCGACACAAGATAAACATAAAATCAAATCTTTTCTATTAGAAATTGAAAAGAAAGCAAGAACAAGACTTAAAATTTTACATGAAAGAGAAGTTATAAAAATTTCTTGATGCTACATGTATATGTTGCAGGAGAAACTAAAACCCAGTGGAATTTAAATTTCTCGTAGTAGAAATTAAAATTTTAATTTTTCTTAGTGGAAATCAAAAATCAGCATATTCACAAACATGAAAACTGAATTATCCAGCTTTAGAGCTCGAATTTTAATTTTCTGAAAAGCGCACGATGTTTATAGACATTAGATGAAGATTATGAACAGTGGCCACGAATCCAGAAACTGCCACAGTTGAGCAGAATTTGATCCGTAAACGTTTTGTGACCTGTACTCCAACTTATGACTATATTTTAATCGGATAGAGACTTTGGATTCGTCGTAACTGTTCATAATCTTCATCTGATGTCCATAAACATCGTGCGCTTTCCGTATAACTAAAAGTCGAGCTCTAAAGTCGGTTAATTAAGTTTTCGTGTTTGTGAGGCTGCTGAGTTTAATTTCTCCTGCAACATATATACGCGCAATCTCCATTATTACACACTAATAAATTAATTTTGGCTGCTTCATGATTGTGACCACTTTTTTAGTTTTTGATTATTAATTAGATTTAAAAAGCGGTCTCAATCTGCAAATGAAAATTCGTATAGTAGAACAAGCGGTCTCAAGTTGGAATGCATATATTCTCTCGTTTCTTATACAAATAAAATGTGGTCTCAATTGGAATAGAGAGTTTGTTCTTTTCACATAATTTGTACCAGGCATGGGCGAGTCCGGTAATCTTTTAGATTCTTTTTTGATGAGGGTGGTTTATATTTTAATTTGCTGAGCCCTGGATAAGTATTTGATTTTTCGAAAATAAGGTTACGTTCCATGTCCATCTCCCGAACAAAATTTTCAATTTCATGTGAAACAGTAGGTGTTTTTATTTCGCTTTTCATTTTTCTCTGCTCATTTGTGTTAAAAGTTGGATAAATCGGACCCGAAATACAAAAAGTGAAGTCCGAGTCTGAGTCCTTCAAAAACTCTTCCAGTCCGAACTCGGACTCGCCCATGCCTGCTTTGTACACTGCTTATAAATTCGAATCACTCTGTAATTGGAAATGATTGGCTACTGTAGATACAGAAACTGATTGAAATATTTTTCAAAACTGATGCTTAAAACTAGGTTTAGCTGAGAACGACATGACTGGATGGGGTGAGACTATAAAAATGAAGTGTGGCACTACCGTGAAACACTATATCTCAATTCGATTTTCTCTACGAATCCTATTACGTCTATAACTCTACATTTTTCGCGTATCAAAACTGAAAAAAACCAAGATGGTATATTATATAAAAGTTATTCCAATTCCAATTACAGAGTGATTCGAAATTATAAACATTTATTTATTTATTTATAGCGCTGTATTAAGCAGGTTGACCACTTAGGTCCTGACTGCTATCGTTAAAATTTCTTCACATAGTGATAATAAAATTTTGATTGTCTATTACGTTAAAGAAAAAAAAAGATTTGAGAGTTTTCGCACTTAATTCATTACGGGACTCATCTACATACAAAAATTTAACAGCTTATCAAAAAAAGTTTCACAATCGTTGGAATAAAAGGTAACTAATCTCGCACTTGGTCTGCCTGTTGGGAGACTTTTAATAAAGGGTTTTTCACAAAAATGTCTGCGGTACGCGGCTATGATATTTTTCTCTAGTAGCACACTTTCTAGAAATGGCGATTCATACAATTGAATGCTCTTTAACCTTTTTTGCAAGCAAGTTTTAAATTTCTTTTCGAGCGTCGGTAGATCGAAAACTGAATGTAAGTCATCTGTAGAACAACGAAAGATACAAAAAGTCATGCGGAGACAGCGTCTATAGAATTGACTAACGCGGTTTTGAGCAGCTTATGAAAAAAGACAGTAGATAGAAGAAATGAGATACATGTGTGGCCATATGTATGTATTGAAAAATTTCGTCTTTAATTCGAAATTATAAACAGTGTACAAAGTATGTGAAAAGAACAAACTCTCTATTCCAATTGAGACCACATTTTATTTGTATAAGAAACGAGAGAATATATCCATTCCAAACTGAGACCGCTTTTTCTACTATAAAATTTTCATTTCTAGACCACGTTTTAAAACTAAAATTAATCATCATAAAAAAAGTGGTCTCAATCATGAAGCAGCCCTTAATATACAACTTGGAACAATTAAAGAAGAATAAAAAGGGATGGATGGAACGCTAAACATTGTCAAAGGCTGACAAATAGCTAACCTTTTCTTTCCCAATGGTATTTATAAATATCATTGTTTGATTATTATATCTTGTGGCCTATACATCCATAAGAAAATAAATTTTACATTAACTTAATCAGTTATAGATTTCAATACCAATTATAAAAAGCTTTTTTCACTATTCAAGACAATACACAAGAACACGTCAACAAAGTCACATTTTATGTCAAACTTTTGCTGTGTACTACATAATATGTGTCATTATCCAGTGGTCTGAAAATTCTCTACAAAACTGCGTTCGTTTCAACAAATAATCTTAATTTCACGGTAATAAAACAGAATCAAAGTATATCAGAAATGGATTCAAAATCCATCTTTTCTGAACTATTTCTTTCGCTAAAAAACTTTAGTTTAAAAATTCTAAAAGTATTACGAAAAGATGCAAAATTTCTTTTTATGACAAATTTTTTATGTACACGAAGTAGAAAATTGACTCCATTTTAGAACAGGGTTTATCTGTCAATTACTTTTTTGTTGACGCAGTAAGAGTATTTGTACATTTTACTTTCTATACTCTAAAATAAAAAGAAAGATTGTATCAAATTAAACTCATCAGTTTTGTAGAGAACTAAATTTACAACTGAATGAGCTTCAACGCAAATTTTTACTCGATGAATAACACCAAAGAAACTTAAAACACAAAAGTGTGTCATTATTTCTGGGTCATTCAATAGGTTGACTAGGTATGCACCAGTTTCAGTTACAATACAGCGATACAAGATTGTATTATCATATAGTTAAGATATGTTGATAATGCCTTTGTTATTCATCCTAATATAATATTTACAATCGAATTTGAAAATAATAACAAACTACCATATTTAAATATGTTAATAGTTAGAGAAGATACAAAATTTGAAACAACTATTTATCTTAAGGAAGCAAATAAAAATTTGTATTTAAAATGGGATGTTGGTTTTCTTAAATGTAAAAAAATTATATCCTTTATAAAGGATTAAGTAAATCAATGCGTATATGGACAAATACACAATTATTCAATGCTAAGTTACATTTCTTAAAATGTACCAACTAACAATGATTATCCGAGTAATATAATTGATACAACAATAGAATATGTTCGTTGTAGCGAAAAACTGAGAACACTTTTAGATTCCTGTCTCAATAGAAATGAGGTATGATCGATAAAGAACTTGGATTATCATGCTGAAGTATTAATATCACGCGGCTGTATTATCATACCTAATCTCAAATGTTCAATTTCTCTTGAACTAATAAAACTGCACAATGCTTTTGAAATAGCTAATCTACTTGAAGTTGCTTGATTTGAAAATCCCGTTCCATCCCATTCAATATCAACATCGAATGTATTCACACGCTCCAATACTTTAAACGGATATAATATTTGATCCCTACAAAAATCAATAATCTCAAATTATCTTAACAAAGAGAAATGAGAGAGTAGTCTAAGAATGCTTACCTGTGCATTATTCTCGTAAAATAGAGTATATCCGTGACATACGTTGGTACAGGTGATTTTATTTTAACTTGACCGGTACCTTCACGAAGTGTAACAGTGGCTGTGACAAATTTATGCATTGCTAAAAAATAAGAGAAATATCTCTACTCAATCAACATCACTCGTCCGAAGTCAACATTATTTCTGTTTTTCGAAACAGAGAGTAAATACTACGCAGTCATCCATCGTACACTGCTTATTTTAACTGGCTGATTATGTCACTTTTGTAGTAAGATATTGTAGACAATTGGTTGTAGAAATTATAGTAGAGGTTAAAATTATATTTTATTTTAATTTCTTCGATAATAAGAATTAAAATTTTCTTGTGCATACAGCGAACGATAGTAAACCAAATAGAGAAAAATAACATAGCACTTAGTTATTTTCTTTTCAACGATACGCTCAACACACACACACAGGAAACTTTTGTACAAAATATGCGATTAAATAATTCATTTACGCTGACCTATTTGTGCTGCATGATAAACGAGATGGGGATGATCAATTTTAATTCTTGATTAACATATAGTTGGGTATAATCACTAAAAACAGACGTTTTTAGTGAAAAAAAACTCAGAGATTCAGTTGTTAATTATGAGCAACTATGTGTGAAAATCAAAGAATGCCACAAAAGAGTTGGATATAACTCTAGATATCATATTTTAGAGTATTATACTTTACGAGTTAAATGAATTATTTAAGTCAAACATGCTCGATCGGCATGAGACTCTCCTGATTTTGGAATTAAAACATTCAAAAAACATGTAGTTTTCAGTAAGTTTAGTTATACTTTTGATTCTATTTCTTCCTCTGCAAAATGTTTTCTAGCGGAAAAGATAATGCGATTATACATGTGATAAGGGACGGGGGCTTATAAAGGTCAACATTTTCCCTTGATATTTCTGAACAAGAGTTACATATTCAGAATCAGCGTGAAATTGTGCGCCGAATGAGGTATATAGCACCTTGGAAAAACCATTTTCAATTTTTCGGAAAATTTGTAGCCTCTATCCCACCCCACTCACCTTTGGAACATCGAAAAACGTTTTTACTCAGAAATTTTCTAAAGATGCTTTATTCGATGCAGAATTTGATGCTGGTCGTGAATATCAGGTCAAAACTGGAAAATAGTTAAGTTTTGATCGAAAAAAATCGATTTTACTGACAGATGGCGTCAGTGACCTGATTCATCAAAAACAGATTTTTTTTCCCTTGAATTTGGTATGAAAACATCCAAAATCACCTAAATATACTCAAAAATGTACCAGTTTTTTGATACGGAACAGAAATCTGCTTCAAACTAGTGCTTTCAGGTCAAAATCGGATTTTGTAAGGTTTTGGGAAAACCTTAGTTGGAAAAACCAGGTTTTCCCAAAATGGCTAAGATTTGGAAAACACATTTTACCATCGTTTGATAGAGCATTGAAAACTGCATACATCTATGTTATTCTGGTAATATTACCTCTTGTCCTATTGGCGGAAAAGTCAAATGACGAGGCCGAATAACAGATTTTTCACGAATTTTCGGCCTCAAGTGACTTTTTTGACCTGAAAGCACTAGTTTGAAGCAGATTTCTGTTCCGTATCGGAAAACTGGTACATTTTTGAGTATATTTAGGTGATTTTGGATGTTTTCATACCAAATTCAAGGGAAAAAAAATCTGTTTTTGATGAATCAGGTCACTGACGCCA